CACACACACACCTGGTGGACTACATTTGGGGGCCTGCCAGGGCTGTGGATTGTGGATTCAGGCGAGAGTCTGCACCCAGTGTTTGGTGTCTCTGACACCCTTGGTTTTTGGGGCCCTTGTCCCCGGGCACGGGGCGTGCCGTATGGGCTTGGCCACATCCGGGTGGGCCGAGCAGCCGGGAGGCACCGTCACCCACTTGGCGCCCAGGACTGCAGGCTGGCTGACAGCAGCTGTCAGGAAAGTGCTGGCCTGTTTGTCAGTCGGGAAGCGGCTCTCCCCAGGTTCGTCCCAGGTCAGCCACCTGGTGCCGGTGGGACTGGGGTCCTCTTGCCGCCCGAGCACGTCTGCGGGTGCCTGGGCAGCAGGCCGTGTGCTTCGCGAGCTGCATGTCCACCATCCACTTGGCCCTGCGGCCAGAACCAGGCCCGATGCAGTGACGGAGTCGGTCCAGCCAGGGGCTCTCCACCTGGGAGACAGGCCAAAGCCCAGCCTTGCCTGGACGGCGGGGGCAGGACTGGGGTGGCTCCAGCTGTTAGAGCCCTCACCCCTGCTGCTCGATTGCAGGGGGGTCACCGGCCTGGACTTGTCCAGTGTCCTTAACGCATGGGAAGCCCGCCTGTCATTCTTCTAATACGTGGGGCTGGAGGTCCAAGGCCGAGGCCCCTGCGGGAGGCTGTGCGGCACCCTGTTCTGACTTCCCAGCACGTGGCCACCTTCTGGGGTGCCGGCCAGGGGAAGGGGGTCCTGAGCCCCAGTTTTGCAAGCACAGGCCTCAGGAGTGCTGTGGATGGTAGGCACAGGGACGGGGTCAGTGTGGGAGGAGCAGAGCACAGCGCCCTGGAGGGGACAGTCGGGACCACGTCAGGCTGAGCCAGGGTGAAAGGAAAGGGGGGCGCAGGCGCTGTCCTGGGAGGGCCGGACCTGCCTTCCATTCATATTTTAAAAGAAGAATGAGTTAAAGATGAGGCCTCCTGGTTTTTTCTTCTCTCACCTCACGCGTCCCTATTCCCGAGAAGCCACTCAAGCTCCCGGCCTCATGCTGGTCCTGTGCCATCCGAGAGCCCTCTGTGGGTCGCGACCTCAGAGCGCGCGCCCGGACGCGCCAGGTGACGCGTGAGCGGCCTGACGCCCTCTCTGTCCACAGCAGGCCGAGCAGCAGGCCCCGGCCGGCCGAGCTGAGCCGGATGAGCGCAGCACAGCGGCTCCAGCTCCTGTGAGTACAGCCCGGCCCCAGTCGGGGGTCCCCCGTCTCGCCCTGTCCCACCCCCAGTCCCCTTGGGCCAGCTCTGGGGCACAGCCTGGTTGGCGTGAAGCGGCCTGTGCCCAGTGGGGCCAGGACACCCCTTCCTTTGGGGTGGTGAGGGGAGCAGGTGCTGTCAACTCTCTGGGACTGCCCTCAGGCCCAGGTCCTTGTCGGGGTCGCCACCGCTTGGGTCTGTCCCCTGGCTTGGGCAGTCAGTCCAGTGGGGTTAAGGCTGTCCCCGTTAATAGGGAAGTGGGAGCCCAGCATAGCCTGGCCTCGCCCACGGTCACGTGCAAACACGCAGAGCTTGGGCTGGGCCCCCACTCCACCCACCCCAAGGCCAGGCTGTCCTGCCACGGTGCCTTCCCTGCCACGTGGGCCCACATGGGCCTGTCCTGGAGCTGTTGCAGGTTTCAGGGGCAGAGGTGTCATCCCGAGGGGCCACAGATGGGCTTCAGGGCTGCTGAGCTCCAGCCGGCCACAGCGCTTCCAGAAGGCGGCATGACCGTGCCCACTCCCAGCGGGCTGGCTGGCTGTAGACACAGGCACACAGACAACAGCAGCCGGCACTGCGACTCGAGGCTCAGGGCTTCTAGCAGGAGGAAGGGTGCATCTTCTGTCTGCACTGGGGGCCGCCCGCACCTGCCGCCTGGTCCCCACGGTGCCCCATTGTGAGCAGAGCCGCGGGGCCATGGGGCGCAGAGCTCCTGGCCCCTCCATCCAGGCTGTTTGGGCAGCGCTGGGGGGAGGGCACCTGCTACCTGAGGCCGCGCGCGCGTTGCGGGGTGTGTGCAGGCTGCTGACTCCCCACATTGGGCAGGCTCTTGCCTTTGATAGGCCAGGGTTGGGAGCTAGAGCCCCTCCCTGGGGAAGGGCTGGGGACGCCAGCACCCCTCAATCGCACGGTGGCTCCAGGGTCACTGTGTGACCATGAGGAGAGCCCTGGGCAGCCTCTCCCCTCCTGCCCGAAGCCCTCAGCCCCCCCAGGCCCCCTGGTCTGACCCAGTAAAGCCACGTGCCCGTCTCCGCTCCAGAAGTTGGGGGCAGTTTACGGGCCGGGCTGCTTCCCCAGTCCCCACCCCTCTCCTCTCCCTTTGCCGGTGCCCCTCCCTGTGGTGACCCCTGGCCTGGCCTGTCCACTCCAGGGTCCAGCTGAGGTGCTGGGGGTGGGGTGGCCCAGGCAAGGCGGGTCCTGGGTGCTAAACGCTCCCTCCCAGGGGTGTGGGGTCGGCTGACTTTTAGCCTTGACTTTCAGCGAGGAAGAAAGGACCCGCTTTCGGGAGCTGCTGGCCAGCCCGGCCTACAGAGCCAGCCCCCTGCTGGCCATCGGGCAGCAGCTGGCCCAGCGGGTGCAGCCGGGTGGCGGTGGCCTGCTCTGAGCTGGCCCGGACGTGTCGTGAGCGCCGAGGACGCACGGGGTGCCAGAGGGCCGGCTGCTGGCCGTTGTCCCCGAGCCTGGACTCTTCACTTGCTGGCTGGCGGGTGGGACGGAGCCCCGTGAGGGTAAATAAACGCCGTGTGAGCTCGCAAGGCTGGGTGCTTCCTTGTGCCCCAGCCGCTCTTGGGGCAGGGCGACTTGGGAGCCCCGGGCCGAGGGGTTGGGCTGCAGGAACGTGGACTTAAACCCTCGGTCTGAAGATGAGGCGGGTGGGTGCCCTTCCCAGACCCCTGGGAATGGGAGTGTGTGGGCACTGCTGCCCTCGTCCTGTGGCTCAGAGGCCAGGGCCCCCAGCAGTGGCAGCTCTGGGCCTGGCGAGGGCTCCACATGGCACCACTCAGTGCTGGGGATGGGGCTGGACACCCAGCTCTTGTTCACAGGGCATCACGTCGGTGTGCCAGGTGCAGGGCCATCCAGGCCCCATGCCCCCCGAAGCTGTCCAGGGGTGGGGGGGGCTGAGCGGAATTGGAGCTTGAGTCCCCTGACCTCAGTGGGCCCCCTGGGCCCCTTCCCAGGACAGGGACAGACGCCGTGTCTGCACATGGACACATCACAGGAACTGGGGAGGGACACATGGGGCCATGGAGGCTGCAGGTAGGAGCCCGGTCCCCATGGCCAGAGGTCAGCACGGCGGTCCAGCCGGCACAGCCAGCCCCTGCGTGATGCAGGCCGTCATCCTCAGCACATAAGAGAGAAGCCGTTTACAAAGACGTGTTTGTGACAAGCCATTTCTGCAGCAAGACCAGCACAGGGAGAGGTGGCGGGATGTCCCCGGGCGTGGTACTGGCCACCGGCAGCCTCCTCAGGCCCTTCTGTAGTAGCCGAGTTGCTGGTACTGGCTGCATGTTGACTGTGTGTTTTAAGAGAAAAACTGCTTCAGGTTCTCCAGTGACTCCAGTCTGACCGTGGCCGGGCGTGCCTCGGCCCCTCGTCTCGTGGTCACTCCGTCGGGGCTGTCACCTCTGCCCAGGAGCCAGGACCTTCCCCTCGGGGCCTGTGGTCACCACGCACTGCGTTGTAGAGGGTGGCCCTGTGGGAGGAGGAGAGATGGGGAGGCCATGGAAGGAAGAAGGACCGATGGGCCTCGTCACGAGGAGACACCCCACTGACAGGGACCTCAGAACCAGCCCCAAGAAAATGGCCTGAGAAGCTGCAAACATGGGGATGTCATCCCAGAGCTGAGAACCTGGGCCCAGTGGTGGCTGCTGCTCAGACAGCTGGGGTTCCTCTAGGTGCATGTGGGGCTGAGACAGGCAGCACGTCCCAGAGCCGTCCCCCGGAGTTACAGGATGTCCTCCGGTGAGGCCACAGCCCACAGGCCCGTCGGAGACGCCATGTGAGTGGGAGGGAAACGACGGGTGCCTCCACCCTGGCGTGTGTGCTGTCTCACCTCTGACCTGAGCTCGGGTCTGGACCGGAAGTTACGCTCTAACCCTGGGGCCCTCAGTGGGTTGACCACAGGCACACAGCACAGGAAGGCCTCTCGGGCCTGGTCGGAGGCTCGGCGCTCCGCACACTGGTCCTTGTCCCTGAGCAGGACGGGGCTGCCTGCTCTGCCCTCAGGCTCACCTCCGAAGGTTTCCTGGTGGGGAGGCCAAGGGACCGTGACCTCCCCAACACTCCCCCGCCCCCCCACCAAACTTCCTGAAGACCCCTGCATGGCGCAGCGGCCCACCTGGATCTGCCTTTCCCTGAGCAGCCCCCTGCCCCGCTTGGGGCCCTGGTTGCTGCGTCCACAGTCACCTCTCCTGGTGGCATGTGTATCGTTACCAGTGGCCATGACACTGCTGCATAACAAACACCCCACACGCTTATGGCCGGGCAGCCCCCCAGGCTTAGGCCAGGCCCATGGGCTTGGCTGCCTGTCCCACTGACTGTTTCCTGGGTAACATCACAGGCGGGGTGACTAAGAACAAAGGAATCTGAGACCAGTGTTGGCGGCCGCTCCCTCCAGAGCTCCAGGCCGGCCTCAGCTTCTGTGGTTTGCCGGGAACCCAGGCATCCCTTGGCCTGTGCCTGCACCACTCCTGTCCCTGCCTCCATCGTCACGTAAGGACACCAGTTGTTGGATTTGGGCCACCCTCCTCCAGTCTTAACTAATTCTATCTGCAAAGACCCGTTTCCAAGGACGGTCACACCCTGAGGCCCCAGGTTCCTGGGGACTTTGGAGACGCACTCTGTCTGGGTGGGCTGGCACCGGGAGTTTTAGACGCTTCCAGGTGAGGAAGGCGTGTCTAGTCGACCAGCACTGAGAAGCGGGTGGGGACATGAGAGCCCAGTGCCAGGCAGAGTGACGGCTGGTCTGTGGCCGAGCAGGGTGTCGGGAGCAGGAGGCTGACAGCCGGCAGAGGGGTGGACACAGGGCTTGGGGAGGGGGCGTCGGGGCTGGAGCTGTGGGTGGTGGGGGCTCCCGTGATGTCACTCCCCAGACCTTGGGCCCTTCAGCGGAGCCTGCTGCCAGCGCCCTGTGCTCTGCGTGCGTCCCCAGGCCCCAGCAGGTCTGCACGTGGCCTGCGCTGCGTCCCTGGTTCCCATTCCTTCTGCTCCTTCCTTTCCCGCGAGGGTGGCTTCGTGCCGCTCTGTCCTGTCGGCTGTACCAGGACTTGGCCAACAGGTAGTGGGGTGAACGATTGACGTGAGCGGCCCAGGGCAGGCAGGGCCGGGGAGGGCCAGCCTCGTGGGCGCACGATGTGCAGGGCAGAAGCCCCAGCAAACCCCTCACTGGTCCCAGGCTGCAGCCCCCCTGAAGGTGGGGTTCAGGGCAGAGTTAGGGGAGCAGGGGCCCTGGGGTCCTCTGCAAGGGCCGCAGTCACTGGCTACCAGAGGCGAAGCCCTGGCTGGTGTGGGTCCTGCCCTCAGGTGACTAGGCGAGGAGTGATGGCTTTGTCCCCCGGAGCTTCTGCTGCATCAGGGTTGCACCCACCCAGGCCCTGAGGTCACCACGCCCCACCCTCCCTGGGACTCAGACCCCATTTGTGCGGAGCGCTGAGTATCACAAGGTTTGTCTTGGACAGAGAGGGTGGGCAGTGGCCAGGCAGCGCCAGCCAGGGGCGCCTCGCAGGGTCCTGTGCCGCTTGAAGCCAGGTGCTGTCAGGTGCGGGGTTCCCCGACTATACGTCGTTATGTAGCCAACAGCGTGTGCTTCTAGAATGTTCCTCATGCAGGCAGCCTGGGCTGAGGCCATTGTGCTGAGATGTGGGGGCCCAGCCCCTCCACGTCTCCATGGTTCTTAGTGGCCATGACCAGTTTTCCAGGGTGCTTGCTTCCAGGATGTGGGACAGCCGGGGTGGGGGTGGGGCACAGTCCTGGATCTGCGATCACAGGTCTGTGTGAGGAAAGAACTTATTTTCAAGTAAGAGTCTCAACTGCGTTTTTCTTCTAAAGATGTTTAAAGAACGTATGTGAAAATGATAATTAACGTCTTCCTTAAGACTGGAGAAATCGGCCGGCCAGGTGGCACAGTTGGCTAGAGACGAGCTCTGAGCAACAGGGTTGCCGGTTCGATTCCCACATGGGCCAGTGAACTGCACCTGAGCTGAGCTGCCAACAGGTGGCAGGATGGCTCAGCTGGTGCGAGCACGTGCTCCTAACAACAGGGTTGCCGGTTTGACTCCTGCATGGGATGGTGGGCTGCGCCCCCTGCAAGTAGATTGAAAGTGGCGACTGGACTTGGAGCCGAGCTGCGCCCTCCACAACTAAGACTGAAGGACAACAACTTGACTTGGAGCTGATGCGTCCTGGGAAAACACCCTGTTCCTTTCCCCAATTCCCCAATTAAAAAAAATCTTTAAAAAATAAAACAAAAATCGGGTTAAGGCAGTAGTAATACTATTACTAATAAAGAGTGTTCTGAAACATTCTATCTTAAAAAAAAAAAGAAAAAGGACTGGAGAAATGCTAATTGTAAGACCCTTGGTACAGAATCAGTGATTACTTGTGTTTCTGAATCCAATGTTTCTTCTGGTGCCTCAGAGGCACCTGGGTCATGGGGTCTCCGTGGGGCTTCCCGACGGGCTTGGACCCTGTCCCTCCCTGTGCTGACGGAGGCCCTGGCCGGACCTTGTGTGCAGAGGGGGCCACCATGGCCCCGAGAGAGGCTGAGCGGCGGCCGGGCACCGAGGGCTGCCAGGTGCTTTTCCTGAGGACATCGCCAGCTGCCTGCTGCCCCCGTGACCTCCGCCCTGAGTCAGGTCAGCCCCTGGCGAGGCCCAGCACAGGGCGGGGTGCCCTGGAGGAGCGCCCTCCCGCATGCCTTTGGCGTCTCGGCTTCCAGCACAGCGGTGATCACTCCCACTCAGCGTCTCCTGGGCTGGGGAGCAGATTCTAATTACAGAATGACGACGTTTAATTAGGGAACCAGCACCCGTCAGCCCTCTGGCTGCAGGGCTCCTGAGGGACAAGCAGCCCGCCCTGTGCCTCCTGCAGGCGCCCCAGACCTGGCACCCCAGTGCCCCCACCCCACCAGCTAATGTGCCCTTGTCCTCTGGCCTGTCACCTGGCAGGACGCACCACCAGCTGCATCTCACTCGTTGCATCCTGGGGTGGGGGCGGCGGGAGCTGGGCCTTCTAACTCTGTCTCCGTGGCACCGGGATCACATGCTGTCTCTGCTCGAATCTTTTGCCTGATAAGAGACGTTTTATGGCTGAAAGGGATGACTTGTTCCCCAGTCCCCCCTCCCCAGACCCCCCTCCAGCCTGGGGAGGGCTCAGCTCTGCGTCACCTTGGCAGCCTCCAACGGAGCCCGCATGTCAGCCAGGGCTGCTCCAGGCCAGGGCACCTGACCGTGGGCCCCCCAGAAAGCAGACCCTTCTACCCATCAGGACACCTTACTTTTCCAAAAAATAGTCCTTTACTCTTCAAATTCACAATACAGCCTCAGTGGTACTTTTTTAGCTCTTTACTACACACATGTTGGTCATGTGGAAGTGAGTGAGGGCAGTCCTGTACGTGCACAGCCGCCCGCTGCAGCCCCAGCCCCACCCAGGAGACCCAGGGTTGGTACCGCGTCACCTGCAGCTGTTCCCACGGGCGCTCAGAAGGGCGACCACAGACCCGGCCCCAGAGCAGACCGTGAGCGGCAGCGTCCGAGTCGTTAGATGTCCATCGCCTTCCTCCTGTACCGCTCATCAGTGTCCCTTTACAGCTTCATCACGCCGAGCGCCTGCTGCCGCTGCCCACCGTCGGTCAGGTGCACAGCAAATCTCATTGGAGATTTCGGAGTTGCTTCCTTAAATGCTTGGTTTTGCCCTGTAACGATGTAAAGTGTGACATGGCACCAAAGTGTTAGGCCTGCCAAATCTGCGAACCTCGGTTAATAACGGCGCTGGACAACTCGGGGGGAAGAGTTGTCCTGTTCCGGGGAGTTTGGGTTTCAGTGCAGCGCCTGTGTTGTACCTGTAGGCGATGTCTGGCTTTGTCCCAAACACTGGGGGGCGCCAGAGAAACCGGGGCCCACCCCATCCCCCACCTGGGGCTCCTGACCAGTCACGTGGGTCCTGGGTCCTCAATTTGTGTAGATGAGGAAGAGTAACCCCACGGCTGGATGCGAGACTTGGGTGGGTGCTGTCCCCACCCTCCCGGTGCCCAGGGCACCCTCACACCCTTACCCCAGCCCAGTGGGAATTCTGGAGCTCTGGGGGGGGCGTGCAGCCCTAACCCCAGACAGGAATGATTGGAGAGAGTGCTCCTGGGATTAAATGTGGCGGGGGGGAGGACAGCACCCTGGGAAGGGTGGCTCCTGTGGGCTACGCCAATGGCTGCCCCGAGGGTTCCCCATGCACATGGTCATGTTCACTCCCATGTGTGCACGTGTTTATATGTGTGCGCACGTGTTTACGTGCCCGTGCATGTGTGTGTGCCCATGTGTGTGTGTGCGCACGTGATTTCAGGGCCGGCCCACACATCCTGTCTTGACACAAGGCAGCGTCTGCGTTCAGCGGGGCCCTGTCAGAAGGGGAGAAGACCGTCATTTCTAACCCTGGAGCACGTCCATCAAGGAAGGATGTTGAATTTTGTGGAAATCCTCTTGGCTCCTGTTGAGAAAGTCTTGTGTTCTGTTATTTTTCCTGCCGGGGGGCGAACAATGTGATTAATTTTCCACATGCCACGAGGCTTGGCATTCCTGGGCTCATGGCGGGCTGCACTCCCTACCCCCGCTGGGTCAGGCACAGCCATGGACTTGATCTGCCCACAAATGTGCGTGTACCTGACACGTGACCCTTTGGGGAAGCTCCCAGGTCAGCACATGATACCCCATGCTTGCGTGGTGCCGTCAGCCTGGTCCTGGGGACCCCATGGAGCAGAGCCCCTACCCACTCACAGTGGGCTGTGAGCTAAAGGTCCCCCGCGTCTGTGGGAGCCACAGACCGGGAGGTCGGTTGCAGTAGCACAGCCCAGCCTGTGTTGACGGACACACGTCCTCGGGCCCCCCCCGAGCAGATGGAGGAGTAGCAACAAGTCAGGAGAAGTGCCGTCAGCAAGTCAGGCCAGAGTGATTGAGAAATGAGGACTTTCTGCAAGAAATGGCAAGTCAGGCTTGCCTCCAGGGAGTAACAGCAAAGGAGCCCGCCACTGCGGGGTCCGCCCTGACACGGCCCACGCTGTCCCCTGCTTTCCCCTGAGAAGGTAGCTCATGGGACAGGCGCCTGTGTGCAGCTGCCATGTGCATGGGCACAGGGCAGACACCAAACACCGCTGCACGGGTGATGAGGCCTCCACCCCGTCGGTGACCCCCTCAGGCGCACAAGGCCAGCGGACAACTTGGGAGACACAGGTGTTCCCCAGGGACTCTGGGCCCAGAGGAAGTGACACCACTCGACAGCCGAGCTGGAGGAGGCGAGTGCCAAAGACACTACCCAGTGAGGCTTGGGCGGCGGCCAGAGATGCACTTGGAGGGAACTTACATCTTAAATGTTTTCATTATACACAAGAGAGAATAAATAGTACATGAGCCAAGGATTCGGCTCCAGACCGTAGGGAAGAAAAATGAGATGAAGCCCGAAGCCCGAGGAAGCAGGCGGAGCACGTGAGGAAAAGATGAAGGAAGTGGCGGGTTTGGCGAACAGCAAAGTGACACAGGTTAGACCTTAACGTCCCCTGGGAGCCGCTTGTGCAGGAATCTGGTGACCTGGGCGGCTGTCAGGAAAGTGCTTCATCCCTGCCTGCCAGGACCAGCCTGGGGCCGGGTGGCTACAGGCTCCCACCCGGGCAGTCCCTCTGTGCCTCCCCCAGCCCCCGTGCACGGGGACAGTGACAGGCTCTGAGATGTTCCTCGCTACACAGCATGGCGTTGCTGCTGTCTGCATGACCGAGGAGGCACAGTGGGCTGCAGGCCAGGAACATGGGACGTGCCACCTCGTCCAGTCCAGCTGGGGTGGGGGCCCAGGAGCACCCACCACAGCCATGCCAGGGGAGTCCTGGGACCCCGCCTCCTCTGACCTGTCCAGGAGAGCTGACCTCAGGCGTCACTTGTCCACGGGCCTCAGGAGTGCACGGGCCACACGGCCGCCTCTGAGACCCGGCCCTGAAGGAAAGTGTCCTGTCCCCCCTCCCAACCCTGAGAACGGCACTTGCTCAGCTAAGCACACCCCTCCCCGGGAGAAAGCGGGGGCTCTGGCAACATAGCTGGGGGCCCCATGTCGCACCCGGGGCTCCTCTCCTAGCTGGGCAGATGGCCTCAGTACAGCTACCAACATCCAGCTCAAGGGCCTTGAGCAGAAAGACAAACAGCTGCCCGGGGTGAAGGGAAAGTTGTTTAGATGAAACTTAAACAGGCTGTCATCCATTCGGCAGCTGGGAGACAGAGCTTACTTAGCTTGTAACAGCGCTGGTCCTTTCTCCCACACTTGCACCTGGGAAAGTGTGAGTGTGACTTCAGCCCGGGGACGTCACGTTCCACCAGCCTTGCGAGTTTTTGTGCTGTCATTCAAGACACGACTCTGAGTGCCCTGAACTCCAAAGGCCGCTGCAGTCACTGCTGACCGTGGGGCCGAAAGGGCCGTTGCCCACGGCCGCGGTGTTAATATGGGCTCTGGGCTGAGGGCTGTTCACACGTTATCTCCCGGAACCCTCACAGCCCCACAGAGTAGGTGCCATTCATGCCGTGTCACAGACGAGGAAACTGAGGCACAGGGAGGTCGGGTGTCCTCACCCAGCGAGTGCAGCCTGGGGCCCAGGTCACCAGCTCACGAGAGCCAGCCCCAAGCTGCCCCATTGCCCCTGGTCTTGGTCTGTGTTCCCAAGGCTGTTGGCTGTGGTGCGGGAGGGCTCAGGGCACCTGGGGACAGGAGGAAAGGAAATTTGGGGTCAGCTGTCACATGTGGCAGTTGGGTGATAGAGATGTTTGCCGGTGTATCCTGCATTCCTGCACATTGGAAGCAATTCCCATTGGACTTCGTTTATGAGGCTTCATTAACCACTTAAATTTCTGCCCAATTATTTATTAGTTAGCCACTGTTTTCCCAAGTGCCCCGTGGTGCTCAGACTGGGGGCACATGACGTGCCTGTGCATGCACACACG